CTGGGGCTCAGTTTCCTTATTTGCAAGATAAGGAACTTGGACTCAATTGCTTCTAAAGTTCCTTTTAGCTCTACATTATGATCTTAATTATTTAACATTTCCCTAGGTACTTTTATTCCTTCTAAAATCTTAGAGCATCATCCCCTCCTCTAACCCCTGCTTATTTGAGATAGACCCACAGGGCTATTCTGGACAAGAATAGTAACTGATATTTATTTAATGTTTTCAAGTTTACATTATCTCATTTAATCATTTGATTGACAATTTATTTATCCATATTTCAATGTTAGATTCAGTCTTGGGGCAGGTAGTTGGCTCAATGGATAGAGTGGTGGGCTTGGAGTCAGGAAGACTTATCTTTCCTGAGTTCAAATCTGGCCTTAGACACTTACTGTGTGATCCTAAGCAAGTCACTTAACCCTGGTTGCCTCAGTTTCCTCATCTGTAAAATGAGCTAGAGAAAAAAATGGTAAACCACTCTAGTGTCTTTGCCAAGAGAACCCCAAATGGGGTCAGGAAGAGTCAGACATAACTAAAAAATGACTGAACAAGGTTCTGTCTTAACCAATCAAGCAGCCTCTTCCTCTATATTCTATCCCCATATGATAAGAACAGATTAAAGAATAGACTAAAAGGAGACACAGGGAACAGAAAGCTCAGCTTGGAGGCAAATTTAGTAATTCAGGCACTAGTGAATAAGCGAAAGCAGGCAGAAATAAAGCATGCAAGTGCCAAGGATCTATAATCAGGATCACACAAGACCTGACAGCTATCACTTTAAAGGGGAGGAGAGCTTCACCTTAGACAATTTCAGAAAAGTTAAGTATTTCTCCACTTCTAGAGTAAGGAAATGGAATTGTCCCCAAGCCCAGAGAATTATAGGACTATCCCAAGTAATTAAAAAAAAATAACAATCTAGGTGGAAACATCCTCCATGAATGCAGATCACAGGCAACTCCTGTGTAAGGCACTGAGATATTAAGTAAACTGCCCAGGGTCACACAGCCAGTATGTGTCTGCGGCAGGACTGGAACCAAGGTCTTCCTAACTCTAAAATCAACTCTTTCTCCACTGCCTTTCTCTCCCCAACATTCATGCTAATAGAACTGCACAGAGTGGGCAGACAAGAAAGAAAAACCAAAGTTCTAGCACTTGCACCAGGCAAACAAAACTCGTGGCTTTCTTTTCCCTGAAAAACATGCTCACTACAGTAGCTACAAGTCATAGGGCCAAACAATAAAGGGCATTCATTAGTGACCATTGTATCAAACTTGCCGACCTCACTTTCTCTAAGTAGTGTGGAGGCAAAATGATTGAGCCACAATAGGAAATTTTACTGGGAAATGAAGACTGGACTTTGTTATACTTCTAACACCCCATTCTTCTAGCTCTGTGACAAATAAAAATTTCCCAAGAAACAAGAGAGAATATTTTGGTAAGGCTTGCTAAAGGAAAGATTTTTCCTACATTCCATCATCTAATAATTGAATTCCACACAAAAATAGAAATAGACAAAATACTTAACCATGCTTTGGGAATTGTGTTTTTTATGTTACCACTCTTTAAGCAGCAATTTCCTCATCCATAAAATAAGGATAATAATAATTAGCACTTATGTTAGAGGGTTATGAGAACCAAATGAGAAGATATATATAAAGGACTTTACAAATCTTAAATCAATACATAAATGATGGTTCTTACATAATTATTCTACAATATGTAATTATACTATGCGCTATATATAATCATGTAATAATGATGATTGTTCCCTTCTTCCACCTTAGACTGTTTCAGAAAAAGATTAAGAGACCACAAGCAGAATTATAAGGTGGCAAAATCCTTTCACTCTTATAAAACCTCTAAAATGATGGTCCCTGACATGTCACACACATGCATTTTAAAAAAACAACATTGTTTTTTATTTTAATATGATAATTATTCAGGATATACCTCCAACCCATTCTCTGACCACTTGTAACAAAGAAAAAAAAAGATTCAGTGCTACCTAAGAGATTACAATCATTTGAAGTACCAAAATAAATATGATTTAGGGATTAATTGTAATTGTATTCTAATGCAATATAAATTATTTGAATGCAATTTGCCAGATTTCCCCAAAGTAATGGTCTTCTTGGCAGTATTCATAGGTTAATTAGTTAATTTTAGAACTAGTAGGGGACTCAGATATCACTAAGTCGAACCCCCTAATTTTATAGATGAGGAAACTGAGGCTCAGAAAGGTTAAATGACTTGCCCAGGGTTACCCAGCCAGCCAATGTTCAAACCATGATTTAAAATTATAATACCCAGGCTCTTTTCTGGTCATAGCTTTCAAGTAAACTAATGATTCTTAAATTATCTCTCCTGATCTGTTTGCTGGATCAATTTTTTTTATATTAGATACCTTACATTTTCTTGTTTTTTAGTCTTTTGCATTTGTTTTAATATTTCTTGTCTCACAGAGTCATTAACTTTTATTTGGCCCATTCCAATTTTGTTGTTTGGGTAAGGTTTAGTACCTCTTGCACTGAACTGTTAATTCTCTTTCCAAGTCTTTCCTTCCTCTAGCATTCTCACTTCATTTACAAAATCATTTTTTAAACTCTCTTAAAAGTTCTTGCTAAATTTCTTTCAGGAATTCTGGTTGAACTTGTGTCAAACCTGTATTTTTGTTTGAGGCTTTGTAGATGTTTTGAAGTCATTCTCTTCTGGGGGTATTGTGCCTTGGTTATCACTATCACCTTAATCCCTCTTTATGGTGAGAGCCTTATTTTACTCATTCTTCTAGCCTTACTTCCTGAATTAAGCACTTTTGGAATGTCCAGACATCGCTTGGCCTTGTTTTGTATTTTCTTGGTCCCGTCTACTTGTCTAACTGTTCCTGAATCTTTGTCAAAGAAAAGTGAGTGTCCCCCAGGGCTCTGTGCTGGGCCTGCTTTTCTTCCTCTTTTATACTATGTCACTTGGTGATCTCATCAGCCCCAATGGTTTTATCATCTCTAGAATCTGCTAGAAGTCGTTAGTTGTAATGATGGCTAAAGGGAGAGCTGGGCTATGATCCTTCTCACGGCTGACATATTTATTGTAAATCATATGTTTTTGTTTTATTATTGGTTGCTTTATTAATAAATAGTATGCTATAGTCAGTAACCTGCATGCTTATTTAAGCCTAGGAGATTAGGGGTTTTGATCTATAGATAGATGTCTATAGATATGTATTTGTATAGATATCTACATATATATAGAGAGAGAGAGACAGACAGAGACCAAGACAGAGAGATAGAGAGAGACAGAGAGAGAGAGAAACAGAGACAGGGACAGAGATAGAGGAGCAAAAACTTAGGAGAAAAAAATTCTCTAATTTAATTAAATAATATTTAACAAACTGGGATGGGGGCTCAAAGATGACTGATTAATGAGATGAATTTTTAATAATTAATAAGAAAATATGAAAACATACCCTTTGATTGTCTTAGAATCCAGAAAGAGAAAAATGAATAAGTAAAATGAGTTAGTCCCCATGATTTTGAGGATCACTTTTGATAGGGCCCAAGAAATCAGGGAGGCCAGGATTTGCTGGTTCCCATTGATGCTCCCTTCTAAGCTTTTGGTTTTTTTTTTTTTTTTTGAAATAGATTTTTGATGGATCCATTTATTTTTAAATGGCCTACATTTTTCTTTCTATTCCTCCCTCCCAGAGAGCCATCCTTAGAACAAATAACTTTTTAAAAAAAGAGAGGAAAAAAAATCAGCAAAACCAATGAACACACACAAAAAAATTATGACATTATGTGCCATGTTCCATGAACTATGATTTCTGCAAAGACGTGGGCAGAGGTATCACTCATATCTCTTCCTTGGGACCAATCTTAGTCTTTATAATTTTGCAACATTCAATTTCAAATGTTTTATAGTTGTTGCTCTTTCTATGAACATTGTTGGAGCTATTGTGTTGATTGTTTTCCTGACTACTTATTTCACCTTGCCTCAGTTCATATAAATTTTTCCATGCTTCTCTGTATTGTTCGTCATTTCTTGTAGAATGGTGATATTCCACTAACAATAATAGCTAACATTTGTATTGTGTTTATTATGTGCTAGGAACTATGCTAAGCCCTTTACAATTATTATCTCATTTGATCCTCACAACAACCCTGGGCAAGTCCCTTAACCCTGTTTGCCTCAGTTTCCTCATCTGTAAAATGAGCTGGAGAAGGCAATGGCAAACTGCTCCAGTATCTTTGCCAAGAAAACCCCAAATGGAGGTCACAAAGAGTCAAACATGACAAGATACAACTAAACAACAACAAGCTTCCTGACTCCAGGCCCTGCACTCTATCCACTGTGCCACCTAGCTACTTACCTTGTTTATAGTATAGTATGGTATTGCAAACCCTATTGTATTTAACCTTGTAGTTACTGCATTACCCTTGCCTAATTCTTCCTCTTTCCTGTTGCCAAAAATCTAACCCACTATGAGATCATTTCTCTTCCCTTCCTCTTTCCTCCCAGATTGCCTAAGTGTCACATCTACTTGACTTTTCCAACCTACTTTTTATTCTAGCCTGACTTATTTTCTAAGGCCTCCTCAGGAGATACTTAAGTTTCTTTTTTGGTTAAAAAAAAACATTAAAAGTTTCCTCAAAGGGATCCATCTTGGTTGCAAATTCAGTGTCATTTATTACCTACAAGTGACAGTGTAGTTCCTGTTGAAATGGATTCTGATTTTTTTTTTACCTACTTCTGTCATGTAGGTTAAATCAAAAGATTCTGGGGAAACTGAGCCAATTAGAAGCCTAATAGAAATCAAATTCTTTCATGTAAAAACTTTACTAGCTTTGATATTCTATTATATCTCTAATATTTGGGACTGCTATAGATCATTATAATTTGTTGGAGGAGGAGGTTTTCCCAAACAAAGGTTTGGTTTTTCTTTAGGGTGAGCAGGAAATTTTTGGTGATCCTTTGCACTATATGGCTAATGTATCATTTATTCTTAGGGCCGCCTGGGGCCATAGGACATCAAGGGGAGAAAGGAGAAAAGGGAGACCCTGGTGAATTAGGCTTGCCTGGAAATGATGGTCCCCCAGGAGAGAAAGGTGAAAGAGGAGAGAAAGGAGACAAAGGGGACCCATCCAATGATGTGCTTCCTACAGGTAAGAGTACGACCACTTTGGCTCATGCAATTATGATTATTTCTATTCAGATAAGAGGCAACCATGGCATAGTAAATAAAGAGCCAGCCTCCACACTGTACAGAGAAGGTAAGGTCTGCAAGCTTGCTGCAATGATCACTAGTCAACCATTCAATGACCAGCACTTGGCCTGATGACCTGTAGCTATTGTAGACAGTGGTTTTTTTTAGAGGAAAGAAAGCATGAGTTTTTGTTTTGTTTTGTTTTGTTTTCTCAGTGGATGCCAAGGTCATCCACCGCATCTCAGACCATTGCCAGCCACCCTGACTTTTGTCTAACTACTGGACTTTGATGATTGTGAAAGAGAGAGTGAGGCTGACAATTTTCTGCAGCTCTGTCTCACTTAAATTCAATTCACAAGCAAGACATTGTCCATGATGTTATCCTTCTTCAAAATGAAGGATTAATAACAAATTTTTTTGTTCAGTCTATGTGTTAGTATTTTGGCTTGTCTATGTCCATTTGATGCAGAAAGTTTTACTGGCATGAGAGTTTGGGGAGCAAAACAGAGCTGAGAAAACTTAGGTTCAAGGCGGATACGTACTGGCCGTGTAACCCTGGACAAGTCACCTAACCTCTCAGAGTTCTAGGAAACTCTCTTAGACGATAAATGGTGAGGAAGGTTCCAACCTGTATTGATAGAAAGAACTTCCTCTTCCCTCACTTCCCTGTATCAATAAAATCGCAGGTCCAATCCCTATCACCTGTATTTGAAAACTAGAGTTTTATAATTATAACCCACATAAATATCCTCCTAACCAACCTGTAAAGTAGGTAGTACAAGTACATTATTGCCATTTTACAGATGAAGAAACTGAGACCCAGAGAAATAAAGTGTATTGTCCAAGGTCACACAACTACTAAGGGATAGAGCCAGAATTTGAATCCAGGTCCCCTAAATCCAAGTCTGGTGCTATTTTTTTTCTTTACAATACCACAATAACTACAAATGCAGTCTGAGCAGGAAAATCTGCCCTAAACATAAGATCATGTGATTTAATCAGCAAGTCAAGTCAACAAGCATTTATTTATTAAGGGCCTACTTTGTGCCAGGCACTAGGCTAAGCGCAGGGTATACAAAGAAAGGTTAAAAACGGTCTTTGCTCTCAAGGAGCTCAGAATCTAATGGAGAATTCAACATGTAAACAAGTATGGACAAACAGGATAGAGTCAGGTTAAATTGGAGGAAATCTTGGAGGAAAGGAATGTGGAATTTTATTTGAGATTTGAAGGAAGCCAAAAGGGCATCCAGGTGGAGCAGTGGTTAGCACGCTGGGCCTGGAGTCAGAAAGACTCATCTTCTGGCCTCAGACACTTCCTAGCTGTGTGACCCTGGGCAAGTCACTTCACCCTGTTTGCCTCAGTTTCCTCATCTGTAAAATGAGCTGGAGAAGGAAATACAAACTACTCCAGTATCTTTGCCAAGAAAACCCTAAATGGGATCATGAAAAGTTGGACACGACTGAAACAACTGAACAAAAGAAAAGGTCAGTTAGGTATTATCCCCATCTTGCAGATGAGAAAAAAACTGCTTATCTGAATTTCCTGCCTAGTTCAGAAGAACAGATTAGAAGAGATGGGATACTAGACATAGATAGAGGAAGAGAAAAAATGATAGTTGATAGTAAAGAAGAAAACATTCTTTTTTTTTTTTACTTGCATCATAGAAGAGAGTTTAGAGTTGTTTTTATAGAGCCAATCTAAGGAAAAATGGGGAATTAGGAGAAATGTGTCATTATCTAATTTCTTATGCTTCCTTTATTACTATCATGGTCTCTGTCTCTACTCCATCTTCTACAAGAAGGAAACATTTCTATAAAAAAGCATAGCCACCTAGGCCCTCTTGTGTAGGAGTGTGAAGCCCTATAATGTCTCAAGTAACTTGAATTATAGCACGGTACAATACTTGATGCTAATAATGGTAGCCCTGAGTCATCATGGGAAGGTTACATTATGTGCAATATACTCGGTTTTGGAAGGCAGAGAAGTATGTAACCCATTTTAGAAAGATTTCCATCTAAAATACCTTAAAAAGTAAGGTTTACAGGGCAGATAGGTGGCGCAGTGGACAGAGCACCGGCCCTGAAGTCAGGAGGACCTGAGTTCAAATCCAGCCTCAGACCAAACACTTGACACTTACTAGCTGTATGACCCTGGGCAAGTCACTTAACCCCAATTGCCAAAAAAAAAAAAAAGTAAGATTTAGGAGGATAAAGTATTCCTTTGAAAAGGATGAAGCAATACACAAATATGGAATTTTGGAGACGCAGTGTGGTACAGTGGTAGAGTAGTGGGTTTGAAGTTAGAGGACCTGTATTCAAATCCCAACTTACAACTTACTACCTGGGTGGCCTTAGGAAAATCACTTAACCTTTGGTGGCTTCTGTTTCCTCATGTATAAAAAAAGGTATTGGACTAGTTGGCCTCCATGTTCTCTTATAGCTCTGTATCTGATCTTAGGAGTCCTGGCTTTGCCATTTGCTAGCCATGTGACCTTGGGCAGGAGGGAGGGAAGGAAGGAAAGAATGAGGGAAGGAAGGAAGGAAAGAAGGAATGAATGAAGGGAGGAGGGAGGGAGGAGGGAAGAAAGGAAGGAAAGAAGGAAATAAGCATTGACATAGCACCTATCATGTACCAGACACTGTGCTAAGCACTTTACAAATATTATCTATGTGATCTTCACAACAACCCTGGGAGGTAGAGGCCATTATTATACCCATTTTACAGGTGAGAAAACTGAGGCATGGAAGAATTAAGTGACCTGTCCAGGTTTACCCAGCTAGTCAGTGAAAGAGCCAAGATACAAATCCTGTCCTTCTGACCTCAAGGCCAGTGCTCTTTTCTGCTGTACACCATTGCTCCTTAAAAACAGATTTCGAAAATTTGATCCTTTACCTAAGTCCTATGTCAGAGTTTCTCATCATGACAAGAATGTGGCCCAGAGTTTTTAAAGGTATAGGGAAAGTAGCTGCTGGAAGGGTCTCCTTTAAGAGACAGAATGAAGGATGGAACATGGAAGCAGGAAGACCTGGGTTCTGACCCCACCTCAAACACTTAGTAACTGTGTAACCCTGAGCAAGTCACTGAGACTTTTTGGGGCTCAGTTTCCTCACCTATAAAATGAAGGGGTCAGACTCATTAACATCTCAGGATCCTTCTAGGTCTACATCTATAATCCAATGAGAAAAAGTTTCCCAACATCCTTTTACTGAATAAAATGAAAGCTGTGTCCATGACAATAATGTCTCTCACTCTCTTTCTTTCTCTGTTTCTCTCTAGGTGCCAAAGGGGACCAAGGTCCCCCAGGCCTCCCTGGCCCTCCTGGACCCCCTGGCCCTCAAGGTCCACCTGGCCCACCTGGAAGCAGAAAAGCCAAAGCCCAGCGCCAGGCAAATATGTTTAACAGCCAATGCACAGGTCATTACAGCCCCTGGCTTCATCTCTATCTCTTGAGACTTTAGTACCTTTTAATTACATATGCATTATTAACCCCGTTTTGCAGATGAGAAAACTGAGGTACACAAGGGTTAAGTGACTTGCCCAGGCTTGCCCAGATTGTTAATGAAAGAGCCAAGACACAAACCTATGTCTTCTCACCCTGAACTCAGTTCTCTTTCTGCAGCACCACCCTGTTCTTTGATGAGCTATAGCAGTAGTTGGAGGACTACCAGACATCCTTGAGAATAGATTCCCCCCACATTACCCCCCCAAAATACTATTTAATGACTAGTAAATATTAATTTAGCTAAAGTCAAATTGAAAAGGTGGCTTCTCCCCCATAAACAAGGATATTCATCAGAGACTGAAGTGTGAATAGCCAGGAACAAATCACAATTCAATTCAAATTTGCACCTAAGCCCTCTTCCTCTTTCCCTGGCAGCCATACTCCATCCTTCAGATTCCTTCTTTCTCTGCCCAAATACACCTCTCCCCCTCTCCCTCAAACCCATCTATATCTCTCTGTTTATGTATCCTTTAGAAACTTGGTGCTTTCAAAGGAAGGAAAGGGCCGGACAATAGGACTGGCTGGATCTGTTATCTCTTGTCTGCATGTACTATTGTTAACAAAGATATTAGTGCTAGAGATAGCTAAGTCTATATTTAGAGATGGAAGACCATTAACATCAAGATTATACTCAAACTCACTCAGATCAAGGGGAGGGTTTTGTTGGCCAATTTGAAAATCAAGAGTTTTTTTTTAATTAATTAGGAAGAAAGAGGCTACTTTGATTTAAAAAAAAAAGACTCTTAGGGAAGATAAGATTTTCTACATGAGATAATGTAGAAATAGTTGCCTCAACCCTATCTCCCACATGCTAGGGCCCAAGCTGGGTGGATGAAAGCCTATTAGTGTGTGTGTGCATTGAATATTCTATGGGATGCCTAAAAAAGGACCTCTTAGGTCAACATACTGAAAATACAAAGATCCTAGAAACAGAATCCTATGGTTGGATCCCAGACAGACCCATGGAATGTCTGGTCTCTTCCTTTGCCTCCATATTTCAGCTGATTTCAGAATCTACCTATGGAGTTATCTTCCTTTTGACCCAGTGTGCAATTTGTGTACTCAGAGAGCTACACCTCCCTCTTCTTTCTAGAAGACACATTAAGGCAACACTCAGCTTTTGGTAAATGTATGTTTTAAAAGATGCCCTCGCCTTAGTGAAGCTGGATTACAATTCTTATCACCAGTTGGGAATTCTTCTCTCTCACTGCATAACTACACCTTTTCTGATATTCAGTTATCATCTTCTCCATTAACATCGGTCCCCTTTGTCAAGGCTTCTTTCAGAGAATGAACTACAGCAATCAGCTCTGGGTGAATGAGAGGGACTTTGCCAAAGCATTCATGGAGTTTCAATTTGCCAAATGCATTGCTAGCCAGTGACAGTTGGTTCCTGGAGAAGCTCTTTATGCCACTTAGCATATTGACAAAGAAGCAGGGTCAGTTGTGTCAGCCCAAGTATTGGGGGGGGGGGG